CCCCCCCCCCTCCCCCCCCCCCCCCCCCACCGAAGCATCGGTCATGCACAACCCCAACGCGCCGTTCTGCCCACTCTTGCCTGCAACTCTCGGCAGCGAGCCTGGAGGCGGTCCTTCTCGCGTTCAGCCTCGGCCGCCGCCTGCTTCTTTTCGCGCAGCAGCGCCCGCATACCGTCCTCTCCAAGCTTCGCATCGTCGCGGCGGTCGCTTCTCTCGTCGCCCCCGCCACCACCACCGCCGGCGTCGTCAATACCACCCTCACCACCCACCACCAGGCAGCCCGCGCGAGCGAGCAGGCCGGTCTTTTCCTTGGAGAGGCGCGCGATGGACACGAGCAGCTTGGTCTCGTTGGCCTGCAGGCGCTGGACGGACTCGAGGTACGTCTTGAGGCCCGCTTCCTGGCGCTCCAGGCGAGTGGCGTGCTCGCCAACCCTTTTGCGAAGCATTCCCTGTTGTCGTTGTCGTTGTTAGGGTGGTGGCGGTCGATGTGTCGGCGAAGCATGACGCAGCAACACGGATACGACCCGAAGGGGCGAGGAGAGAACAAGCCAAATAAAAGGGGGGTGATGTCTGTTGCGGCATTGATTTTTTTCTCTTGTATGGTGCTGCCGTCGACTCATGGCCAGAGTGGGGGGGGGCGGAAATGGTGTCGCGCAGGTTGTGTACACGAAAGAACGGACAACCCTCAAACGTGAAGGCAAAAATTTGCCGCGAGAATGGGCATGGGTGCGCGTGCTTCAGATTTAAATGTTGGAGCTATAATAGCATAGATCGATCAACATCGAACGGGCTGTAACCCCAGTCCCTGTCCTTCACAACTATGATAGCCCCCTCCCCCCCTCCCATCGCCGTGTTCCATGATTTGCTGTTCCAGAGCGATCGAACAAAACTAGACAAGCTTCAACAATCTCTTTCGAGTCAACTACAGTTCAGTTTAAATCGCACGAACGCACACGCACACCTACGTTGTCTACAACAGGCATGAGATGGAGCGGAAAAAAAAAATGTTCCTTCGTGTGTCGTCAAACACATATCATCTGCACCTTCCCAACATAACATATATGAGACACACAAGACAGCTACCAAACTGTCTTGTTGAGCCTGTTACCCGCAGGGGAGATGTCCCTATATGCTGTCTGGGAAATCGTAGACATACAGGTACTTTCTGACGCTATGAATCCATTGCTAATCTGTCTCAGACTCTTTTCTATGATAGAGATGGTTTCGTTGTGTCATACTAAGAAAAATAAAAAAAATAATCCGTGCGGCCTTTCGGCAGTGCCACCCTGCACGAAGAAGCATTTATACCTCTGCTCCCGCAAGCTCTCCGATGGCTTTCCTCAGCCCCTCCTCTCTGCCCAACGATATCTGTACTGCGGCGGTAAGGCTCTCGAGGCGCTTGGCCAGCTTCACGCCCTGCGTGCGCGTCACAAAACCCACAACGGCGAAAAGACAAAAAACGAGACAAAAAAAAAGCAGCGGAGCGTGTTCTTGGCGTTTGATTCGAATAGCCTGCAAGTGTACCGCCGCCGCCATGTCCAACCAGGCAGGGGTTGGTGCTGTTTACAGCTGAGGGAGCACTCTTCAATGTGAACAGGACGACCACAAACGACGATGCCATGATCCCAACAAGAACATTGCTCTCTCGCCTCCTCCCGCCGATAATACCCAAGCGTAGGTGACATAGGATATCACACCCCCGGACAGATTCTCAAACCTCTCGTTTTCTCCAGAGGGGCGGTGCCGAAAACGGCGGCGTTGGAGCCGTCTCGTCGAGAGAGCTTTCCGGAAACGCATCGTTTCACTTAATGCACCCTCCTCGTCGTGCACTAATCGAGCTTTGAAAATCGGTCCAAGGAGTCTGGCATCTGGCGTCACTAATACTCACCTCCTCTTCGTGGCCCCTGAGGGATTTCTCGGAGGCGGTCTTGTTTTCGTCGTAGGTCTGGAGGAGCGCCTGCGCCCATCAACGAACAGCAACAGAACCAGAGGCGGCAAACGTGCTTGCTTTTGGGGCGCCACGGGAGATGTTGCTATTAGTGCGGTTCTCGGCGAGGAAAGTAGACGCGGGGGGAGAGGTGAGGCCAGCAGTAGCTTTAAACGTGAGCTATATAAACAAGAGCGAACAACGACAACAAACAAAACAAGGGGTCGCTTCTGCTGCTACACGCATGCACCCAAAGAACGGCTTTATGGCGCATTTCTACTCTGCCAGCGACACGAAGATGATGGCCACAACGTGATCGTCTACATTGAGCCCATTTCGAAGACCCAGCACGCACCAGGGACAAACAGGGCGTACGTCCCGAGGAAACAAAACGAGTGCTGCGCAAACACGAAACACAACCAAGGGATCATCACGCCGATAGACTGGAATGCTCTCACCTTCTACAACAAGCAAAACGACGCATAAATAGGCATTACGTCGATGTCTTTAGAGTAGCATACCTATCCCGCAATACGGCGCAAAAAAACTAAACCCCTTCCGGGCGCGAAAGCCGTACGGTGCTGCACCCATCGTTCTTGCGATACAACGCCGTGGCATGCAACCGCGCGCGCCCTCGAAGGTTATACACGCATGCATATGCACATGGGCGCATACCTGCACGCGTGCAAGGACCACGCTCTGTTTGAGGTCTTGCTCTGTCTCGCGCGTGACCTGCTCGTGGGAGTCGACAAAAAAAAAACAAAAAAAATCCGGTACACATACTTGTACACACCTGGAGGTCTGAGCGGAGGCTGGCGTTCTCCGCGTCCTGGGCGATCCTTTCCTCTTCCTGCTCCTTAATCTTCTTCGAAATGTCGCTTACGACGGCGTTCAGAGAGGCGTTCATCTCTTCCCTTCGAAGTAGAGCGCGACGCAAGTGCCAAAACCCCAGCGGGAGGCCAAAGAACGGCGAACACGACGTTGGCGCGGGCGTTGGCGCGGGTGCAACAACGTGGCCCAAGGGGCCACGAACCTCCTTAGCTGTGTGGTTACTCCCTCTCTCCCTCTCTCTCTCTCTCTCTCTCTCTCTCTCTCTCTCTCTCTCTCTCTCTCTCTCTCTCTCTCTCTCTCTCTCTCTCTCTCTCTCTCTGTTTCATCGGCTCCAATCCCCCGCTAGGAAAGAAGATCGTTCTCTCTATCAAATCCCCATCCTAGCGAACACAGACAAAAAACAGAAACAAGCGGATCAAACACTCCCGCGGGTCGGCGCGTAGGAAGACAGACACCACCAGAGAAAAGGGATATGTTAACCCTACGTGTGCTGATCGATCACCTCCTCGCCGTCTCTTTCCCCGCTTCCACGTTCCGGGCCTCGAGCATCGCCGTTCGTCTCCCGTCGAGCTCGCCGCTGAGGGTCTGCAGCTTCGCCGCCGCCTGGTTTAGCCGCGCCGCCTCGCGCGCGTCCGCGTCCGCCTCCGCCCGCATCACCTTGAGGGAACCGGGAGGGGCGGCAACCAAAGGCGCCCCCAAGGGTTAGGCCGGCGCGAGAGACAAGTCAGCCACCAGAGTCACCAACAGCGGCAAAAAAAGTATCGCCGCGCCATCGCAGCCTCCGCCTCATTTCACCACACAGACCAGCCCTACCCTACACGTATCAAATTTGCGCGCCAAACCTTATAAGCGCACCTACCCAACTGTACAGCGGGGACCTCACGTTCAACCATTGGCGTTAATGGGTCTCAGGGCGAGAGGGTACAGGGTAAAAATGGGATGCGATAAAAGGGTGAAAAATGTGGCAGGCAGCAAAGCCGGGGAACTTGCAACGGCCAGCTTCTGGTTCTGAAAGCGGACGGTTTACCCCTTGGCCTACGCGGCAATTCTTCGCCTCGCGTCATCCTCCGCCCTCGACCAGCCACCGGGCGAAACTTAGGGCTATACACCCGAGACCCAATCTCCGATCAACTATTGTTTCGTGATCAAACGGAAAGCACCCCGTCACTGCGGGGGGGCCGGTGAAAAAGAGCGAACGATCTTTGCCAAGAAAAACTAGGAAGGGTTGGTGCGCTTCGGCTCCTATTCTACCTCGTTCAATTTCTCCATCTCTTGGGTCTTGCGAGTTAGAGTGTCGGCTTGCTTGGCCATCGTCCTCGCCGCTTGCACTTGTTCTCGGTACATGTCCCGCAGGGCCTGTGTGGCGTAGTTTTCCCGCACAATTTTTTGGGGAAGCTATGTTACACACCGCAAAGAAACCAGGACAGATGCTTGCTCGGTGATGCCGCTGCCCACCGCCGCTAGTATAGACGGCAGCGAACAACGCGATCGATCAACGAGTGTAGCAGCGAAAGTTTGTTTTTCAGCGGTCTAAGGAGTATGATACGGGACGAACGAACCGACCTGACTAATAACAAATCTAAAACACATGTGCAGCTGGGTGCTTGGACACGGGAGCATACGAAGGTGCGCAGCACGGTTCGGTCGGACCAAAGCGGAAGGGCATCTCCGAGTGACCCCACCGCTAGACAAGCGAACGGGCGAGCAGAACGAAGAGAGACCAATCAAGAAAGCGTGCCAGAACACCTCGCGTGGCATCAAACCCCGAAACTGAGCGACCCGTCACTACGCACACTGCTTGTGCACAACTTCAAACGAGACCCCTCATCACCACGACTACGCCATGCCAGAAAACTGGAGGCGTGCTTCGGAGCTCACAGTACCAGCGACTTCGTTGTTGCGTCTATTGCACAACGCTCAATCCGACCCGGCTTTTGTCCAATTGGGAACTAGCGAGCATAATTCCCTTGGCGTTCGGAGATCTACTTGTAATGAGTTTTGATAAATCACTTTTGATCGAGACCGTCATTGTTAGGGGATACCTCTAGGGCGTGCGGGCGGCAGGGTCCGACGGAATACTATCAAGTTATACAGGGCGACGGCTGCGGCCAATATCTTGATCCGGAGAGAACATATCTACAGGGCGGAACCCCCCCCACCCGCCCAGTTGCTTCCTCGCCGTCTGCCTTGTGTGCAACAGAGGTAATGATACACCTGCATCCCTTGCGGGGTGAAGCCATGCCACTGCTGCTGCTGCTGCTGCTGCAGCGGCGTCCCGCTATTCTCCGAAGACCCACGTGGACTCTGCAGGCCTCCCTCCTTTCGCGCAAGAATCACCTTTGGATGAATCAAGCACGCCGACAGATGTACAACGCACGTGATTGACAAAAGCATGCGCCACCCTCTAAACTGCCGCCGGGGAAACAGTCCCATCAGGGTTGTATGGCCGTGCTAAACCTAGCTTGTTCTCCTTAACCTCTAGCGCCGAGCTGATGACCCTACCCCTTCGGGTAGTCCATCTATTGGTCTCGCGCCCACCCCTGCCTGCCCTGGTCTGGTTCCGACTTTCTTTACGCTCTCAAGCCTGTCATCTGGCGAAGCAATACTTTTAGGCCTGCTGAACAATCTCTCGCGACGCTTGGAGAAAGAAGAAAACAAATCCTGTCACCTGCGCCTCGAATCGTCGCATCACTTCTTCTTCGCTTTCCACGCGTGCTGCATCTCTCTCTCCTCTCCCTTCCGCGCCGCCAGGGTCTCCTTTGACCCCCGATGCTGCCGCCGCCGCTGCCTGGCCATTCTGTGGCCGACTCTGGCCAGCCTGAGGGTTAGCAAGCCGGTGCTTCGACGTTGCCGTACGAGCTTTTCTGCCGTTGCCATGAGCGGCGTCGGCGGAGGACGAAGGCGTGGCCCCTACCGCCGCCGCCACCTCCACCGCCTGCTGTCCCCTCGCCCTCAAGGGGGAGGAGGGGGTCGGGGCCGCGGCAGCGCCATTGTCGTTCTTGCCTTTGCGCTGCTGCTTGGCCCTTTCAAGCTGCAGTTGCGCGATCTTGGATCTGAGCAGAACTTCGTTCGAAAGGACAACCGGCGTGGCGGTTCTGTGCGTGCGGGAATCACGGTTGGCGTAGCGCAGTAGCAGCAGCGGTAGCAAACGTTTGCGAAGGGTGGCGACGAGAGCGATGCGTATGCTTACAGCAGGGAGACGTGCATAAAGGAACAAGATGAAAATGGAAAACTCAACCCGACGCGGTTCTTTCCGGACTCAGCACCGGTATGGAATGGGGAGCTTTCACGACTTTTCTCGCAATGCAAACGACATGGTGGGTTTCATTGTTCCTGCTTGCGACATTGAACACTCCCTGCAAGGCTCCAACTGAACCTTGCTGATACCGCCGCATGAAACCGATAAAACCAAACAAAGAGCAACAGCCCCGTTTTTATCCCGGTGTCACCAACTTCAATCATTTTTTGCTTACACATGGCGATATTCACAACTAAATGCCCGCTCGTGGGTTTTCAGGTGTTTCTGAAGTTGGATGTACTGCAGCAGTCTTGGGGTGGCAATGGTTGCGTAGCTTGCTACCGACCGCGCTAAGCGGCTAAACAATGACAACAGTTTCGCTGGAGGGACAAACCTTTGTCCCTCGCCAGCGTGCAGCGTGCTGGTCGTTCATGTGCGGATTTGGTGCAGGAAGACATTACAGGGAGATAGTTTTCGCACGTACACATAATGAGGGTTTACTTCCAACAAGAACAAAAAAGATAGAGATGAGTGGCTATACCTACAGTACATAATGCTGCCACCTACTTTCATGCTACAAGGTTGCTGTGAGAAAATGCAGAGAGCTGCAGTGGGACCTGCTCTCTGCCGGAGGATGCATGTATTTCATCGTGTTCGTTGCATCTCGGTCTCAGCAGGAAATTACACCAGTACGCGTCCTCTAGGTGCTTACACGCTCTCGAGTGTGGAGCGCGAAACAATAATATTGCGCAATGTAGGTGCACTGCATCCAGGCAATGTTTGCATAGACTACTATCATAAGAGAGCTGCGCGAGGCTTTGCAGTTGACTTTGTAGTCTACTTGACTAAATAAATGTACTCAGAAATAATGTACTTGCTGAGGGTGGCAGGCCTTACTCACGATGATGAACCGCAGACGCTCGGATCTGCGCTCGGCCTTTCGCGAGTCGGAGCTAGAGCATGCTTTGGCATTGAAGCTGTGTGTACTCCTCAGTTGAAGAAGTATTAAGCAGGTGCTGCTGGTGCGCAAGAGCGAGCTGCGGTGCAGTGGTGTGCTTTTGTGTCCGCCATTTGCCGCCATGGGCGGGGGTCGCAGCGAACAGGAAGTAGATAGGGATGATGTACGATTTCACGAAGCCCCCTACTGGAGGTTGCGCCGCGCCGCTGGCTGCGAGTTGGCTCGTCACACTACCCAAACGCGTGATCATGTCCCTTGAAGGGTATGGTACTGTCGGGGACCCGCAGGAGTCGCCGGCAGCGGGAGAAGAAGGACACGTTCTACCTTTGTTGAGCACGACCTGGTGAGGGATTTGATTTCCGTGAAATTGCGACAGGATGGGCGCCATGGCGCGTCAGATTTTCCTTCCAAACATCCAAAACATCCGGTGTGTATGATCCGCATTCATTTTTTTTTCTTGAACATACACACAGCCTTCCACAGGGAACGTGGTGGCCATGCCCTCATAGCAACGTACGCAGCGAAATATGTAATTGGAGAGAGGTACTCCCCACTCCTAGTTCCATGACTCGTGAACAGATTTTCAGCTGGCAACATGATTGGTGCTTGTTTGGTGTCTTAGGGGGGAACCTGCAGACTGCAGACTGGTGTCCGAAGGAACAACTAAGCCGGCTTCATGTGTACACCGCGGTCGCCAATATATTGTTGTCTCTCAGCTAGCGAGAGCTAGCAGTGGGCTTTCGAGCCCGCGCACTATTCTTTGCACGTGATCCGTAGTGTGGCTGCAATATCCAAAGTTGGCCACGAATCTTTATCTTCATCTTAAGCTTTTTACTCCCATTCGACAAGTCGTTGCAATGATGTGTTACGCATGTGACGGCCTCCGCTTCTGACTGCTCGTATGATGTATGTTGCTTACCATTAGCGTACTTCGCTCATTTTTTTTTTTTTTATGTGACACGCGTGACACCTCTCTGTCTCGTGTAGCGGGGATGCAACAGCAAAGGGCGGCAGGGAGAAAGCACCGTTGCGTCAAGGGGCTAGACTCACCCCAGCGCAGCATGTTGGCGACGACAGCAGCAGGGGAGAAAGGGATCTGAACCATGCACTTGGTGGGCGGGACGACCGGGAGACGAGGGCGGGCACCGCCGGGGGCGGACCTTCCTTGTGGCGAGCGATCTTGGCGAAACACCTGTGGGCAAGTGATTCCGTGAATCTCATGTCTGCTCCGTATGCATGTTTTGTTGCATTTGCTCCGTATGTATGTATGTATGCATGTATGTAGATTGTGTTATTTAAAAATCGTCTGCAGTCGTTGGGTGGTGTTGAATCCTACAAGGGAATTCCTCTTCAAAACAACCTGGAAGCACGTGAAGATGGACAACAGGAAATCCCTGCGCTTGGCGCAAGCAAACGAGCTACAGCAGCGGTACATAGAGTACGTATGTCCGTTTCAGTGGTACACAATACTGCGAGCACAGCCCCACGGTTTCCCTTGACCTGCTGGTCTCTGCTGGGGCCAACTCTTGTGGAAAGGAGGATTTACATAGCTGGAAACCACGTACAACGAAAAATCCTCCACCCGAAATTGCGCTCTTTCTTGATATCTCACCAACAGTTATTAAGGAATAATAAAAACACACACAGAAAGACTACCCATTCGAGATATACCCACAGTCGAACGGGATGTGGTGGAGTCTTTGCAGTGAGTGAAGGGAAACCGGCTGGGTACTGTGATGTTAGGTGAAAGGAACACACCGCGCTGGCATGCCGGAACAGATCAACTGACGTTTGTTTGCCTGCGGACCACATTGCTTGAAGCATCGCGGTATGCATAGGAGCGGGAGGGACAGATGTGTTGAGCATCCATGTTACCAGACAAATCACTCGAAATAAAGTATAAACGATATTCGGCGTGAAGACAACGATGTGTGTACCTGTGGGCAAGGAAGGATGGATGGGTGCGGCACATACGTATGCGACCAAACCAACAAGCCGACTGATGGCCAACATCTTATTACCGTAATTGTGCGTGTTACCCATCGGCGACTTCGCAACCGTCGCGGTTATGGACCGGGGTACGCAAAAAGAGCAAGAACGGCATGAGTTATGTTGCATTTGCGCGCCGTTATCTGTGTCATCGCACCGGGTGTGTCATCAACGATATAAAACCAGCTTAGGACGTAAATTTGTGTGCCCGCAAGGTACGGGTACCCTCCGGGCCACGTTTTGAACGGCATGTAAAGAGCGACTGCTGTGGGGGTGCCAGTAGGCATCAATTGGGGCGCCAATCCTTTCATGAGTACGATCACACCGATTTATATCCTGCCTTGGACGTAAATTTGCGTCCTTCCGCAAGGTACCGGTACCGTCCGCGCACGTTTTGATATCTTTGTAACCAGCGGCGTGGTGCCGGTAGGTAACAATAGGGCCGCCAATCCTTTCATGCGGAGTATTGAGTAGCATTGCGGTGTATGAGTAGAAATGAGCCAAGTTAATTTCACGTTAATCGATGGGTACATCAAATGCATTCACTCAAGCAAGCACATAACCCGCACCTCCAACCAACCGAACAAGAAACGTACTCGTATTTGGTATTACCGGTACCGTGCCCCTTGAGGAAGGCGAATGAGGCTTGCGACCAACAAAAGAGGCTGGAAGAAAGACAGATACCGTACCGTACACTTTTTCCCAGCAGGGAACCACAACGTCTTTCGTCTTTGGCACACGCATGCCCCGGATCCTGTACCACAAAGAAACCCTAGTTGCTCCAGGAAACTCTTGTCTTCATTTCTTCAGCATCTTACCTTTCGGTGTCATCGCACCGGGGTGCCTGCACTCAGTACGTAGCCACCCATCGGTGTCATCGCGCCGGAGGTGCGTGGGAAAATCTAGAACAAAATGATTTTTGCAGTTCCGAAACCGATTGTATCGGTGTCATGGCACCCATCGGTGTTGTATCACGGGGGCGCGATAAAAAGCCTAGGGAGGAACGATCGTACCTCGGTGCCATAACAAGCACAATTACGGTACAACAACGACTGGCTGTGCACTCGGCAGAGATCTTTGGGAACGTGCCCATGATGGGTGGGAAAAATGGACTGAAAAACGTTTTCCACAGAGAAACGCAGGGAAATCAATTCCAGACAATAGATAGGACCCACAGCCTGCTACTTTTGGTAGTAGGTTTAGCGAGAATAAACACTACTTATTGTAGTCCGCTGGGGTTATCGGGTTCTGTAGGCTCAAAGACAACCGGGGGATACCAGAGACGAGCAGATAGCTTGCATGCCGCACGTCGTCATTCGTTTTCAAGCACAGAAATCAGGAACGAGACCACATTCCGGTTTGTGTTGCGTGCCGGATTCCTCCGTCTCAGATGCGTGTGCTCTTCCGCGGCTTTTTGATGATGCTGTCGACCGTGGTGATACTTCTCGCCGTGGCGGCGATCGCGCCTCCTCCGAATTTGGCAAATGTGAGTATCTGCACTTTTTACGTTCTGTGTTTGCGTGACGTCTATCTCGCGCGTAGCCCCAAATGGTTGGTTTTCCCCAGAACGCCCAGGACTCATTTTTGAGCAGCACCGCCTCACGCACTCGTGAAGTTTTTACGTTTGTTCAGACGCACTGGGTGATGCGTATGTACGGTCGTTCAGTCATGCCTGGGCCGCAGAGGCCAAGTAGCTTCGTACAGTCCGACAAAACGTGCGCGGTGATCTAGACAAAGCTGCGTTTCGTTTGGCGGTCACACGATGGCTCGAAGGTCGAGGTGGCTGAACAGCGGCGTCAAAACCGATGCGCTTTGGTAGTAGGCCGTAAGTATCTGTTGGAAGAGCTGAGAGACACTCTGCTTCACCAGCACTAGATACGGAACACGCTTAGACATGGTGGTTTGTGTTTGTAGAAGGGCGATCCCCCTTCTGCCGTGCTTGGGCCAGCGCGCCTTCTTCACTTGTTAAACACAAGGTCCTGAGTCAATCTTTTCTTCATGCCTCTGACGATGGGCACCAACTACCCAACGCGTTCTTCTTTGTGTATCCCATGATTTCACCAAGGAATTCCGAATGGATTCACGCCCTCGCTGGGAGCGCCGACAGCGTTATCTCCTCCACTTTCTTTTCTTCGCGTATCCATCTGTCTATTCTCTTGGCGAGTTCACATACCCCGTTCTACCCCCCCCACACCCCCCCACACACCCACACCTCCTGCGGGGTCTCCCCCCAACAGTTTGGTAAGGTGTCGACATCCCCTGCGGAGTATGATTTTATCGTCGTCGGAGGCGGACCAGCTGGCTCGGTATTAGCTAGAAGGCTTTCCGACGAACCGAAGAATCGTGTTCTCTTGCTGGAGGCCGGGATGCCGAGTCAGTACGAAATCGGGGGGCAGGACTTCTTGTCGAATCCGCTGACGCCGTTCGATATCCCGCTCATGTGGTCGAGCGTCTCGCACATGAAGGTAGGCGTTGTCGACTGAGATATTTGTGGGGACGAGGGAGGTGCTTTTTTTGAACGGAGAGAGTGCTTGAGGGATGTTTGGACGGTCTCTCACTGCGGTTTCGCCGTTGTTAGACGCGCCCAGGACGTAAGAGAGTAAGCACTGCTATAGTACAGGTGACGCCCGCACGTTGTAAAATTCAGATTAGGGTCAAGACTCGTGTTTTCCGCGAAGGAACAAAGTGACGCTTGTTGCCTACCAGACCCTGCTGAGGTTCGTTGACGACACTTTACTTTTCCTCGGCCTCACGTCACTTGGTCAGCAACGCCTTTTGCCGTCTCTACCCTTTGCCAGAATTTCCTCGCTACCACCAGTTGTCGAGAAATTGTCGAGAAAAAGAAGCAAGAATAAACAACCAGGCAGGTCTCAATGCCGCTCAAAGTTGCCGAGATGCTTCTTCCCCTCGATGAACGAGAGATGAGCCTCAAAACAGGCGTTGGTAGTGGGTGGGGGGTGGGGTGAGCGGGCAAGGGTTACGTATTGGGGGGGGGGGGGGGGGCGGGAAGGTTTTCTACATCATGTACACCCCTCCCCCAAATTTAAATTATGCGGGTGTTCCTTTTGGAACCCACCCCGGAAACTTGTTAGTCTCAGTGTCACGTTTTCGTCACAAGTTGCTGTCCCTCGTTTTCTTGACACCATTTTCCTGTGCTGCGGGCGCCGTCCCAAGCCCTCTATAACAACTGAAGCCGGCGCCGTCCTAAGCCCCCCGTAACAACAACCGAAGCAAGCGCTCCTTTGTGTTTCCCCACCCCGCCGCCCTTCGCGAGGTCAATGGTCTAACGACTACGGCATGCACGACTATGAGTACACCCCTCCCCCCCCCCCCCCCCCCCTTTCGGCCCCCGCTCATGACAACCATCCCCCCTTTTGCTCTCGTTTTTTCACCACAACGCAGGATTTCCACTGGGAAGTAATGGACCACACCCAAGGAGGAGCACCAGAACGCCCTCGTCGCGAAAGCTCTTGGTGGCTGCGGCATCCACAACGCCATGCTCTACGTCCGTGGGCTGGAGTCCGACTTCGCCAAGTGGGACGTGGAAGGGTTCGACTACGCCTCCGCGGTGGAAACCTGGAAAAAGAACGAGAACTACACGGGGCGGGGACCCCTCCCCGAGTGGCACGGACGAGGCGGGCCGATCGCGACGTCGCCCCCGGACTTTATAGATGAGGTGGGCCGCTGAGGACACGACGAGACAGTCAAACGGCAGCATAGACGCAGAGACCGCCAGAAAGGTAGCAGGGGTCGATTGAGACGTGGACCCGTTTCTGGCGCTAGCCTAGCTCATCTTGACGTGATCTGTTTGCCATTTGGATATTGACCGGAGTGGAAGAACGACAGCAGACCAGACAGGCCCGCTCAAGCTAGAGGCTACTGCTGTACTACGGATGGGAGGATTCCGAGGTTTGCCGTGTCCAACGTGCCGTCAACACAAACGCACGCCATATGTGGAACCTTGGGTGGTATGACGCCCGTCTCTGGGGGAGTTTTTCTCCGACCCAACCCCTAAGTGTTGCTTTCACAACGTTTCTGCATCATTCTGCGAACACGTTTGTAATTCAACAGGTGGCCCCCTTTTTTTTGGACAGCTGCGAAGGGGCGGGTATCAGGTTGACCGAGGATTTCAATAAGCCTGGAGGACGGGAAGGAGCGGGATATTACCATTTTGCTGTCCGAGATGGAGTGCGAGATAGCGCAGCGAGGGCAATGCTAGGCGACATCGTGATGGGCAGGGACGTCCGCACAAACGTTGACATTGTGACGGGAGCTCACGTCAGCAAGGTGTTGATCGAGGATGCTCAACCGGTGAGACGATGCACCGTGTTTTCAAAAGCGAAGTTACCCGGTCATGGACGAAACCCTCCGTCACACTTAGCGGGCAAACTATTGTCTCACTTTTGCAGCCCATATAAATAATATGGCGGTCAGGGGTCGATGAGCGCGAACCGCAGATGCACGGGTTCCGCGCAACGGCGTTGCTTTCCGTCTTTCGGAAGCCGGAGCGCAGTAACTCCGGCGGCGGGCTTCAGTCCTGCCATTAGCCGAACGTCTCACGTGGAGTCCATGTCGTAGTTGAACGCTCGGTGCCACATTCTTCGCTCGTAGGAAACAAATCCGCAAGACCGAACCTTATGCTACTACTGCGCACGCACGACAGGTGCCGACAGAGTCCGAGGATGATGGTGACACCGTGGCGTCACTTTCAGAAGGAAAAGGTGGCCGCACAGTACCAGCGGCGACGGGGGTCGAGTTCGTGCTTGATGGAAAGGTCGAACAAGTCAATATTGCCGCTCCCGGGTCGCACGGGCGCGCGGGATCGGCTGTTGTCGTGACGGCCGGGGCGCTGCATACGCCCAAGGTTGGTGTTGAATGCCGGTAAAGGACAAGGTTTACATACATGAACGACGTCACGATACGTGGTTGCATGAGGTGTGTTGGATGGGCGTCCTGTTGTTCGTGCAGACGCGCTTCCCATTGCAATGGTCGGACCGTCGCAAGGTCGCTGTACCGCCGTTGGGAATTGTGGTTGTTGCATGCGCGTCTGGGAACGTATGTTCCAAGAGGGCTCCCTTTCTAGCGTGCCGTGCTGCACGAACGGAGCACGGAGTGGATTTTCGTCGCCCTCTCCTTCGCGATGCATGGGGATGACATCTTTGCGGATTTTATCTCATGTACACGTACGCTCAAGCGATGTCGACGCATCTGTTGCCTTTCCGACTCTTTGTGGCGCTTTCTTGCAAGTGTATCCGTTGCTCACTTCACAATGTTCTGCTTTACTTGGAAGCTGCCTTCCCGCAGCCCCAGGCAGTATGTGTTATTCGCTGTTCAACCCCGGCTTGAGAGTTGTGAGATTTCGAACTCCTCGAGGCGTGGTTCGATGGAACGCTCGTGTTTGTTTCGTTCAGCTGCTGATGACATCCGGAATCGGGGACAAGGCTGAGTTAGAGGCACATGGCCTTGGTTGCATTGCTGATGTCCCAGAGCTTGGCAAGAATCTACAGGTGTGTCACACGTTCGATTCTCTTCCCTGTTGGTTTCTCGAAAATGCTTTTCGACTTTCATGAGTTCTGTGGTACCTCAGGAAGTTGCCGCTTACCACACCGTCCCTTTCGCCTGCCGCAGCATCCTTGCTGACATTTTTGTTTGATGAGCTAGCTATTTCTCCTGCCATTTTTCTCTTCAAGGTATGGCAGGCTTAGCCTCATATGCGACCCCCCATGCTTAGTTGTGACAAGTTACTATACAATACATGGCAAAGTAAAAAAACAGCCATCCGAGACAGCCGCCAAGGGGATGTATTGAAGTCCTTCCAATGAAGTTTAAGTTTCACACACCTGCTGGAGGCGGTACTGCTGGCTGTCTCGAAGTCCTTACACGCAGGTTCTCTGCCACGGTCTCTCTTCTCCGCCCCATGTGCGCAGGATCACGCAAGCGTTGGTGTGATGTACATGCTGGGACCCGATATTTTGAAGCTTATGCCTTCGGCCTACACGGTCGCCCAAGAACTGGAGAGATATAAAATGGGGGTGCTCAAGGTCAGTGCCGTTCGAGTAGAAGCAGGGAACCGTGAGGTTTCCTTGCGTTTGATGCCCCTCGCCGATCCAATTCCCTGAAGCCTTGAACACGAGTGAGCGTACATTGCCCGTCGCTCGCCTAATTAGGAAGGTGGTGACACCAGCCTCTCTAGGCCCCATGCCGTACTCAACCAAACCTTGTGACCCGTTAACCCTAAGCAAACAGCACGGCTGGTACCCTTGTGTCCCACTCATCTTGACTGACCTCCGCCGTTACTGCGACAGGCGTTCGACCTTGACTTCCCCCCCGGTGTGACGATCGGAGGAGTTGATTCTGATGACCTCACGAACGGGGAACAGAACGCCCCGTCTATCTTCAGCTCTGCAGGACTCAGTGCGGGAGCGTTCCTCAAGTCCCCGTACGAGTCGCATCCAGCGGGATCGAACGATTCTGCTCCAGACATTCAGGTTCGTGTGCAACCGCAACAGACAGCCAAGAGCTGTGCGTTCTCCCCGTCATGGACAATACAGATGGCGTTTTTTGTTTGGCGGACTCAAGACTTCCCCTGGGAGGCTCACGCTGTCTTATGTTTTATTTCCAAGATTGTCGGTCTTCAATGTCGGTTTGGGTAGCGAGTGCAGCACTTTACATCCATGCGCTCATTGTTCCGTATGAGAGCGAGCGAGCGAGTTCATGAAGATGCTGTAGTATTTAAGCGGGGTTGGCAGCAGCGGGCTACTCGGGCGGTGTTGTTGACTATGGGACATACGAGAATGTAGTTGGTCTCTCCATTCTGTGCAGCTTCTGTTGGCTTGAATCACCTTCTCAGCAGGGATTGACAGCTTATACATGTATCCTTGGTCCAGGCGTTTGGTTTATGAAATATGGATTCACCCCATACAGCATGAACTCACCCTCCCCGTACCAGATCTCCGAGTTGTAAGAGCCTCGTTCATGCATTTTTATTGGAATCCTACGAAGGGAATACCCTTTGTTGGCCTGAAAGGTATCGCGATCCTGAAATCAGATTGTCTCACAAGGTAGTTTGTAATACTTGTTTGAGTTGTACACGCGTGCCGTTTGCTTAGGTGAGGACGGTGGCAGATTTGCTAGCCTCTGAAAGCATGAAAGCACGGCCTACCTTTTTGAACGCAGTGTAGTTGTCTGCCCCTAATTCCATCCGTTCCTGTCTCCGACTCGTTCTGGCCGAAACAACAGCTGACAGTATTCCCAAGGGTGACGGAGCCCCACATTCTCGCCCTCGCGAACATAAGACCATCGCCGCAGGCCCCGCCCATGATGCTCGTGACGGTCTCCGTGCTGGACCCCGAGGGTCGATGCGTCGTTCGATTAAACGAGGATGACCCGCACCGGGGCAACCCACACATCGAACGTGACCAGCGGGAGGGGGAGCCCGACCCACTGAGCGAGCTAGACGCGAAGAAGCTGGCGTGGGGGGTGGGGCAAGTACGCAGAATAGCGCAGACCTCTCCTCTCCTGGAGGAACTCCGGGGAGAGGTTTATCCTGGCCCCGGGGTGAGCGGTGCCGCCGATGACACCGCCGGCGAAGACGTCGATCTGGTGGGCTGGGTCAAGCAGCACGTGTACAGCAACAGCCACTGGTGCGGGACGGCCCGTATGGGCAAGGCGTCCGATCCGAAGAGCGTGGTGAACGAGAGGATGAAGGTAATCGGTGTCGACAACCTTTTCGTGGGCGATGCTTCTGTGCTACCCTACATCCCCAACGGGAACGTGCACTCCACGGTGGTCCTCGTGGCCACGAAGCTGGCTAGTTTCCTGGTAGCCGATGCTGCCACTGTCCGCAAGGGCAAGGCAGGAGATCATCGTGAGTAGGCCGAGTGGTATTGTGACCCTTACTTGGAGTCCTGAGTGTTTATATGATTGGATCGGCGGTGGTTCTGTGGGAGGCTGGGCAGTGGTGTCCAAGCTCCAAGTTTTGGAATCTGCGTTTGCATTTTGCGTCGTGCGTGAAGTTGGTCATGGTGGTGGGGTGAAATTGCTTGTTTTTGTATCTTGTTTTCATTTCCCAGTTTTGGGTAGTTTGCTTGTGACTACGGAAGACGTGTGCATCAGTTGGGCCAGTTGTACCGATGTTAGAAGGTCCTGACCAGAGATCGGAATGGTGACGACAGTATCAGCGTAGATGTTATAATTTTGCACCGATGATCGCATGTGCTTGTCCGGTAGAACATAGTACTTCGTCCATGGTTTGTTGATGAAGGAAAAAACTTCCAATCCATCGGCTAGGAGAACAGTGTGGGGTCCGCGAGCGTGCGTGTGTTTTTACAATTTGGTGGTGTCGGGGTTGCCTGTGTTTATTGTCGTGGAGTGCTGTTTTTACCTCCGTGTAGAGCTCATCCCCCCGATGGGAACACGTACTGTGTTTTTTAGTGAGAATCTGTTTCCTCCCTTTCTTGTGTAGCTCGTCGCCTTTCTCACGTGGTCGACTGTAAATGTCTACTGTCCGCTAGCACAAGACATGTAGTCTAAGTATTTCTGCAACGCCAGAGCTCTGCAAGGGCAGAGCCTCTACGCGCCTGTAGAATGCCGTGTGTTCAACTTTGGAGCACGTGTGTACGCATGGCAAATCAACTTATGGTTTTCCAACGACTCCTGCAGCCCTTGGCACTTGTGGCTCGGCATCACGCACACATGTGCTATTTCTCTCCTGTGCGCAGATGCTGCCATGGTCTCAATGTTGACCTTTTCTGCGTTCGACACAACCTATAGCAGGTGAAGCAAAAGGGCTTCCTGTAAGCTCTTGGAGGTGGTTGCCCATGGTTGCCATTCGGCACAACGTTCGCGCGTGTGCTCTTCCTAGCTTGTTTGTGCAAAGTTGTGCATCTCTAAACCGGGTAAACAGGGAGGCTCCGCTCAAAACATCCTTACATGATTTACCTTTGCTTGGAAAAGTCTTATCCGTGATTGACGTGTCATTGTGCCACCCCGGACCGTACTCAATCAATACGAACGGCCAACCCTTCTCTGACAAATATTAATCAGGGGATTTTTCAGTAATCAAACACTGGAGCCTCTGAGGCCATCTCATGCCCAAATGACGTCAAGCACTCGAAGGGAGGAGCTCGGCATGATCATCAAGCACTAGTAGTCCTGCACTCGAACATGGGATTTTTCAGTAATCAAACACTGGAGCCTCTGAGGCCATCTCATGCCCAAATGACGTCAAACACTCGAAGGGAGGAGCTCGGCATGATCATCAAGCACGAGTAGTCCTGCACTCGAACATGTGCTGGTTCACCGTGACGCTCGTGACAACCACAGCAGTTCCACGGCACAAGTAATATGAACAAACAAACGGGAGGAGGCGGGTAGCCTCGGCTGATTCACTCTGGCCGACATATCTTTTTCTGGTGTTGCCAACAGCTTGTGCTCAACAATATTGCCTGCTCAAACGCACAGCGTGGGCACATTCCGACGCACCCAAAGAAAGGTGAAACAATGTTCTCTCGCAAAGGTGTTGCACCCACCAAAATAAATTTTCAAAGATTCCTACTGAAATCGGCTTCCCTCAAAAGTACTAGTACCTGTCTTGGTATGCATACCTCCCGTCACACTTCCCTCGTCACCTCTCCACCCACATTCTATTGGACCACGCGCTTCTAACACGAGAACTGCTTCCTCAAGACATCAACATCTTTTGGGTCCACTTTCGTCGGCGATGCTGCCTCAAGTCGCCTTAGCACTTCTCGCGCGGCTGCGCGACCGTCCTCTTCGCCGAGAAGGGCCACCGTCATGCTGAACCGAGACGCTTTAGAAAGGCTCTTGAGCCACCGCAGAGCCGTTGCCGGCCTCCTGGGCAGAAAAGCCTTTCCCAGTTCTTGCAAAACGCCGCCCAACAACTCTACTTCGATAGGGGTTCGGCGGAAGATTTTGGCGATAGTCGATGGCGGGACGGCCCGCAGCAGCTCAAGCCGTCCTTCAGGCGACCCATCTGTGCCGCGCCACATACTTTCAAACTGGTAGCCCGTGGTGGGTAGCTGCAGCGCGTGGGCCGTCGCCCTACAAGCGGGAGCGGGAGTAGACGGCCTACCCTGCTGGGGTGTTTGGGTCGGTGCACATAGCTCCTTGTCTTCCGTTCTCGCCTCAAGCGACGGGCAGGTTGCCTCCTCTTTCACAGGATGAGTTCCTCGAGACAGGTTATTGTCCTCGCCACCGGCACTTGCTTGCTCAGTCACCGCTTTCGCGCCAACATCCACGAGCGAGAGCGCGGGCGGGCCCGTTTTCGACGCCAAATCCGTTGAGACTGCCGGACGGACTGTATGCGCTGCAGCGACGTCGGTCGCTTCTGATGGTGTTGCGGCCCCTGGCGTTGTCGTCTTAGTTAAACTGCCTTCTACGGTAGCAATCTTTGGTGTATCTCCTGCTGGGTCTACCGTAATATCCCGATCTACCCTGCCGTAAGAACGTGGTACGGCGTCCCCTCCTCGCTCATTCTGAGCGGCCACCGCGATCGAAGCCGTTGGCAACGGGACACTTTGCACTGACGATACTGCGTTCGTGGGTGCTCGTGGTGTAGGTATGGGAGTAGCCAGGGTGGCCTCCGCTTCATCAGGGAGCTCTTCGACAATTGTCCGTGCTTGATACGAGTAGACGGTGGCCTCATTGGTGGCACGCTTGTCCGTGCTCTCTTGCAACACTGAGGAATACGGCGCAGCTGTGTCCTCATCCCCGGTCACTGAAGCATTGTGATTTGTGGCGGATACGGCAGCGTTTGCCACTGTGGGTGGAACACCCTCTTCAATAGGTGTGCCTGGTTGAGAGTACCCACGAGGCTTGGGGGCAGGGAGAGGGAAGCTCTCCACCCGAACATGCGTCTTCGGCGCACGGCGCACAACTGTCTTCAAAGTTTCCAGCGTTTTGCTGAGGTCTTTTCGAACCTGCACGTTTGAAGGTGAAGCCAGTAGGGCAACTTTGGAGCACATGCGCAGCGTGGAACAACAAGACAAGTTTCGACACGCTGCAGCGCCACATACGTTTATGCGCGGCACTCAACCACCCTTGGGGTTAAACATAAAACAACGCCACATCAGCTGTGCGCAGCACTCAACCACCCTCGGGTTAAAAAACAAACTCACTACCGCTCAGACATTGTTACCAACAGCGAACCCATCGTAGCAATAATGCAGTCAACGACCTGGTTCACCCAAGAATGCAGCCAAAAGTCCACTACCGACGAGCGGCAACATTGTGCCAAATACGCAGTGGCGAATCATTCCCTGAAAGGAGGAACCGACGTGCACCTCTTGGCACCCAATTCAAAATAAAAATTGCAACGCATCGTCCTTTGCCCCAAACAAAAGCCCTCCTTTACGCACCTGCTTCGAGGTTGGATCGATTTCCGCTGCTGTTTGCAGGTCACCCAGCGCAGCACGGTGCTTCCCAAGAGCGTTCCTCGCCGCTGCTCGCTGCTGGAGAGATTTTACGTGGCGCGGATCCACCCTCAAGGCCGCATCGGCATCGGATTCTGCCTTCCCGAACTCCTTCAGCTGTGGTGATTCATTTAATTCACATATTGTAGTAGAGGCAGCGATGGAGGTGGTGGTGTCAGCGATGGGCATGGCAGACAAGCGCTTGCCACAGAACGCCAAAGTGCACACATCACATTGATCCAGCTCCTTGACGTTGGTAGTGCCAAACTGCCACAGGGGGGGGGTGTGTACTCATCGTCGTGCATGCCGTAGTCGTTAGACCATTGACCTCGCATCCCTACAAAGCCGGGACGGAGCACGCCGGGTTCTCAACGGACCAGGCTCTCACATCACCAAGCGCGAAGCACCGTGAGGTATTCGGCGAGTCGCATGAAGGGTGAGCTGCATCCTGCTCAGGGTGTTCGGCATCTTGTGCTTACTTCATTGCGTACGGATGACAGCTGCGTATGACTTAATTTATTTTCTGGTGCTTTCACTTCCAGAGACAGTTATAAGCACTGTGTAACTGCCTCGAGGGTGCTTGACCATTGTAACACAATATGGTGCGATTATCCCCTTTGCGCGGAGTGAGGGTTCTCGACCCCGCACAACATGATCTACTCGACAACCATTCATGGTTACCGCCCAAAAAAAAACACCAGAGGTAAAAAAAAAAGCGGTAACCTGGTTGCCGAGCTCACGAAGTGATCGGCTTGTTTTACAACATCGCTGCCAAGCGACGAAAACCCAATCCCGATGGCAAACACCAGGGGGCGGCGGCACGTTTTACAACATCGCTGCCAAGCGACGAAAACCCAACCCCGATGGCAAACACCGGGGGGGGCGGCACGTTTTACAACATCGCTGCCAAGCGACGAAAACCCAACCCCGATGGCAAACACCGGGGGGGGCGGCATGTTTTACAATGTCGTTGCCAAGCGACGAAAACCCAACCCCGATGGCAAACATCGGGGGGGGGGGACAGGTTTAAAAACTACAGAGGGCACAGGCTTCAACATGGTGGAAATACGAGCGCCATGTAGCGAAATTCCTCCTCTGCGCTTGGGATCGTCCAAGCTGCTTCCAAACATCGGCACGGAGAGACAGAAAAAACGCACGCCCAACAGGCAAAGCTGCAAACAGAACAAATCCACAGCAGTAAACGGCATTGGCTATGCGATTTCGCAAACGCCGTTCTGCACTGACTCACTCCTGCCGGGTATCATTTGCATGAAAGCCCGTTGCGTTCTAGGCCGCTTACAAACCTTGAGGTTCGCCATAGCCCTGTTCGAGAAAGCCAGCGAGCTCTTGCTGTTCATGCCCAGGCACCTGGACAAGCAGGCAGCGTCGACAAGGCCGGGTGAACCGCAAATTCATATAGGCGCCTACCGCGCGAAGTGTTCTCTCGCGAGTCCTGCGACACAGCATCGATGCCCTAACCTTTGGAAACCTATTGGAACGTGAGTAGTTCTGCCATGGACGGATGACAGCGTGTGGTCGTGCGTTCTAATATGTGCAGGTGATGTTCCGGGTGATAACGTAAATTTGTAAGTTAGTCACGAAAAAGAAGGAGGAATTCCCACTATCCACCTGCTACGTCTAATGGCACAAAATCGTCAACAAAATTCTGACTCCTGAACGGTTGGTGCTTGAGCCGCAGGAGTGTGTCGTGGTCTGGCCCACTGCCTTGCTTTACGACTGCTGTAGTGGCGACCAAAACAAGACGCTGAGTGTGTGTTTTATACTATTAGGAGTAAAATACATCAACGTGCGATTTGCACCTACCGCTGTGGATGGTATGTGGTGAGCTTGAGACCGTACCTCACCCGCTAGCACCCCCTATTCTGCCTACCTCGTATAGCTCTTCACAGCCCCCTCAAAGTCACCCTGGCCGAACTTCGTATTTCCTTTTTCCCGCTCTTCCTTCTCCAAGTCTCTCGGCGACTGACTTGATCGGGATGTTGAGGTTGGTGCCACTGTGTGCTTAGGCGGAGGAGGACGACGGAGGCCCCGACTGCAGGACCGATCGACCATGGTTGCCGGAGTGAGCCTTGGAGTCCCCTGATTCTTGTCGCTGTCCGTGTCGCTATCGCTATTGCTGCTCGAGCGTCTCTGATCGTCGTGCGGGTGTACAGTGAAGGGGCATATCAAGGTTTCACGCCACGCACGTGCCAATGATCCCATACAATCAGCCGCGACACCTTCTACAGAAGTCTGCTTTGTCAACATGGCACTCTACCTTATCATTTACTCCCTCCTCCTCCTCCTGATCAACAGATCGAAGAGCGGCGTCGATGTCGAACTTGGCCCATTTTCCGTATCCCTTATCATACGTGTGCCCTGCAGCCGACATGCTGGACTTGGCCTTGCCCGAGTCTCCCGTCGCCCCACCGCCGTTTGCAGCGTTCACGTTGATGTGCGGCCTACCGTCAGCCCCATCGTTTCGACATCCCAGGCTCTTCGCCGAAAGCTTTTGCGTTGGTTGTGAAGGTTGGGGCGCAGGGCCAGAGCTTACAGGGACCGTACTTCCGGGGGGGCGGATCGGGGGCGTGCCGGTGTCGGGGATCGCTCGTCGATTACCCGAAGAAGACGATTCAGACATAGCCTTTCGAGAAAGCTGCCTGCATTTTCAGAGAATTTCGCCAAAAGCATACATTAGACGGACATGGCATTCATACCGCCAGCAAACGGTACTTTGTAAGGAACAGAGGTTGAGAAACGTCGGATGATGTTTCATCATACAAGGTTTCCCTACAGAAGTGCAGCACAAGAGCTGTTCAGCGCAAGAACACCTTTCGGGGTGTCCCTCATGGCCACAGTAGCTGGGCGGAGGGAGCAGATGAAATACTCGGACTATTACACAGCAGGTTCGGACTGGAGCTTGACTTGTCGAACTTAAAAATAATACTTTCAGAACTACATGGAAAGCAACGTTCTTGGGACCAGTCCTGGATGCCAAATATGCTATGTATATAATAGATGTATGCCGGAGGAGCGCCTCTCTCTGTACGGAATTTACGCCCACATTGTCTCTGATGGCTGGACAACGGCAGACGCTAGAACCCAAAACTGCTGCGCAAACCCGACAAATCCAAAATCACCCGCGTACCATCTCGAGGCCACGACAAAGTTTGCATTTTAGCTTGATGCCTCACACACAAAACATCCAGAGCACAGACTTCATGCAGATCCGTTTACTCTTGGCACGCATTAAAAACAAATTGCGGCAAGGGCATCTATGTGTGCCCATTGTGTGGCTGCCTGTCTACCCATGAACAGCAGCGTACGCGATTCCTTGCTGCTTGCTGTGTTGCTGTGTTCAACGGCCAAATGGTCTGTCAAATTGCAGACTTTCTTGTACATGCGCGTAGAGCGCGCGCTATTTAGTCCGAAACGCTCCTATCTGTAGCTCTAGGGCTGGTGAAAATGCCTGCCTTGCTGTGTGTGCCTAGGGTGGGTCTAGCGCCTCTACCTACGCACGGGAGATACTTCTGAAAGTTTCCAAGAGCAAGACAAGGTTCAAAAAAGCCATTTCCAACGTCACTCTTCCATGTAAAAAACGGTTTTCAGATTAAGTAACGTGTTTCAGACAGACCGGGGCTTCCCTCTAAATCTGAACCCGTACAGCAGTAGCTTGAAAAATACTGGTATTATACAATAATACTTCGAAATATTGACGAATCCAAACAGAAGTGCGTTGGAAAACATTTAATCGTGACGTCCGGGGTACGACACCAGCCGCGCATGGCATATCGCGCGTATGCAGCTACCGGTGTGGTTGGCGCCGTTATGTGTGTGTGCGTGTGTAAAGGAGCCGAGCGAGCCACACACAGGTGCACCTGAACTGACTATCCCCTTTATAGTGGGGCCAGTCCACTATAAAGGGGCCGGTCGTTATTTAAGGTACACCGGCCCTCTTTTATAACGGAACCCCCTCTTCTCGGTACACTCTGTGTGATAACGGAACCACAATGCCTGTATTGACAAATCCAAACAGCAGGGCGTTGGAAAAACATCGACTTCGGGGGCCTCTGTTCGGCTTTGTACTGAGCGGTAGATACCGCCATGCACACCACAGCGGTGGTGATATTCAACAGACGCAAGGTTAAACTTCCGGATTGGTATCAGAGAGTACACTCAGCCGGCCGGCCGGCATTCGATGGAAGCGAGAGAGGGAACGAAAGTCGGCGGGTAAATCTCATCTGAAGAGGCAAACAAGTACGGGGGTGCTGCGGAGGATATAAAGGCTCCATGCTTTTTTGGGCCACTGACCGAGCTCGTTGTTTACTGGAAATGCGCCCGAAGCCGCCATCACTACGGTGTGGCTGTAGTGCTGATCCTATTTGTGTACAACCTACAACCTAAAGGAAATACTGAGCTGCGGTGGTCAGCGGGCTTGTGGGCTGGATTCAAAATCTTGGTTGATCTACGTATGTATATAGTAGCACGTTCGGCGCCCACCCTAGTATTCCCCGGCCTTGAAACGACCGCCCTTTTCGTCAATCATTCTTACCACCGTTTGTAGAGCACGAATCGGATGGTAATTAACCGGCTTTCAGCACAGACCAGGGGGTGAGATTGACAAACGCAATGTTCGAGCACAGGGTCCCCACTCACTTGTCCTTCTTCTTTATAGACTTCTCCCAGCTGCTGAGGTCGGTAAGATACTCTTGCATGTCCTGAGCATTTCGCCGTATCTGATGCTGGACACGAAACGCAGCCGCACCGGGTCCATCCTTACCATACGCGTCATGATCTCCTTTCCCGGTCATCCTGGCACTGACAACTAGTCAGCTACGCAAACAGGCTACAGACGACACAATACCCAATCGCAGCTCAGCAAGGCAAAGCAAGGTGAAGCAAGCAAGGTGGCCGGGGAGCGCGCAGAGGAGAAGCAACGGCCTAGGGTGACGGGTGGTACTCAAGCGAACCAAGCGACGGACGGTGCCCCCATCGGCCCGCTGCTGTGTGCTGGTTGGTTGGTGCGCGGCTCTTTTACTCTCGATGGACGACTTGATAGGGCTCCCATCTTCTCGTCCCACACACCGCAACCGTGGACTGAAGCAGCTGGATCCTGCATCCTACGTGTTCCACGCGCCCTTCGTTCCCTCCAGGGGACGAAGCTTGCCTGAAAGGCGGCCGAAACAGCCCCCAATCGACATTCGCGGTTTTTCCTCTTGGTGGGTCGTGCTGTATGTATAAATAAACAACATATTCATCGTTCATGCATCGCCGCATCTACATGCCAGATCTTGCATCGAGTGATGTAAATACATGTAGATGTAGATGTATTCGTGTAGCGGGGATACCCTGGCAGATGCATCCCTTGATGGCATGTAAACCACAGGGCATTTATGATCTGCCCGTGGTCGATGCCCCGTCATCACGTCGATTGATTGCATACGTAGTCTACCAGGAGGGAGGCATGGGAAAGGAGGGAGGACTGACTGGCCAGTGTACGGTGCAGATGATGTACAATGCATCTTATTGAGGAGGTAGAATAGTAGTAGTGGTGTAGGGTTCGTGGTCATGTGGTTGGTGGTGCATAATGCAGCAGATCGATGCTGATCTGACACATATAAACAACGTTGAAGATGAACAAGTTGATTGATGTGACCAATCAGTACGCTAGCGAGGTACATAGCTAGCCAGCAACTCAGCAGCAAGCAGCAAGCAGCAGCAGCAGCAATTGAATGGGAGCGTAGGTCTAGTCTGGAGGAATAGTTGGGCTAGGATGGCAGCAGGGTACTTGGGCTGATCAGGATGAGTCTACATGTATCCGTCCATCCTGTAGTTCGCAAGAGCTCCGCTACTGCGACACCTACTACTGCTGCTGTTGAAGTAGCAGGTGGAGGGCTGCCCGCGCATGATCAGCCTTCTGGTGCCTCACGCCTGTTTCCTGGAGGATGCAGACGCCAAGTTCACGGCTGAAAACCGGTTTTTGTGCACGGCATCCCTCGCTTTGTTTCACCGTGTCATCAGTGCACACCCGGCGTCCGTCTGCCCTGTCTACGTGTGTCTGCAATCCAATCAGCTACGAACGCCCTTCGTACCTACCGGACTATGGATATTTGACCTCGTGTGGCAAAGGTGCGGCAGAAGAATCACTCCGATATTCCTGCCTAAAATGGGACATATCTACCACACACACAATACCTAGTATGTGGTTGTCCCCGTCAAAACAAAGTTGGTAGCCACGTGCACCACCATCGCGGGTCTCCTCGTTTCAATGTTTCAGTTGGCACCGAGTGCCGTCGAGTTCAACACTGTCGGGAGCACGTTGCTCTGTCTGGCTCATCTCACGGCCACGCTACTGAACGGAGCGACGGATCTATGTATGATGGACACTTTTGACGACTGTCAAAAAACACTTCAGCCTGGAGGCCCTCCCGCCGAACTCTGACGTCCTTTTGGTCCGGCTCACGTTTGATCCGGCTCACGCCTCAGCCACGCTACGGAACGGAGAGGACGGGTGTCTGTATGAGCAGGTCTGACGATTGTCCATCAACGCTTCAGCCCTGAGGCGCGCGCGCCAACCTTTGGCAGCATTGCTGTACCACGCCCGTGTGTGTACACATTGTTGAACTTTCGAGACTACGCCAAATATTGTTCGCCCTCCGGGCCCCCAGGACAGCACCCTTTCTTCATCTTCTTCCCGCTCCTCACTTCATGGCCCCTGAAGTCTCCCGGTCTACTCAGCCGCTTGGTATACGTGGGACCCCTCCTCTCCTCTCATCGCATCTTGTAATTCTGCACAAACAAGGCGGAAGCACAAGCACAAAGCCAACAGTTAGCAGCGGTCCTCTCACGGAGTTGTTCCCCGCGGGCCCCACCTCGAACTCGTCCGTAGCCAGTAATGGTGCCTGCGGAGAGGAGCACATTTTCAACAACCTGTTATTGTTTCCCCGACTCCACGCACTCACTTGCAACATATTTCTTCTTTTGGCGCGTCCGAAATTCATTCGTTTTATGTTTTAGAAAACACGTTTTCTCTGTGCCCATATGTTTGCATCGAACGGTTAAAAAGTTGGAGACCCAGATGCGCAATGGATTGGGTGTTAACTCTGAAAAATGCTGTTTTAGTGTGAGGCGTACCGGTCCGTTAAGCCAGCCTGCACCTTGATGTGTGTAGCGTAAGACATCTAAGCGGGGTTCAATATGTGACCCGGGGTAGCGTAAGGCTTGACACTCCGTTTACCCTTTCTGTAAGGAGCCATGCTGAGCCCCATCAGCAGAAAGTCAAGAATATGCGGACCACCTACCGTGGCATGCCTGACAGGAGCACGCAAGCGTTTATACTGTTGCGAAGCAGAATTGCGCAGGGTGCCGCCTAACGCGTTCAAATACCAAACTTGTTGATGTTGACTACGTTGATCGTTTGCGATTAACGTGAAAAGTGTCAATAGTCTTGTTTGAGAACCATACCGTCTTAAGTTCTACAATTATGCTTACAATGGAGATGCTAACTGCAAAACTGACAATGCCGTTTTTTGGTATTCGCCTCTTTTCCACGACGTCGTCTTTCTGCCAACATTTTGTTCTGTAGGCAATGGAAGGCGTCAGTGAACCAGCCACAAACGATGAGTCGGCGAACGCCAGTGAGGCAGCATCAACTGGATCGGAACGCAACGTACACCCAGGAAGCGATCGTAGAAGTGCGGTTACGCCCGACCCCACGCCAAATGACATGTCCTTGAGGTCGACACCCGCCGAATCGGTTCTGAGGCCTGAGGTTGACACTCGTGCCGGGATACCCGCTGCGGCCAGCAACGTTTCGGAGGCCCAGTCGCCCCTGTCTTCCCCCACGCCAGAGGCCCCGCGGAGCTCAGAGAGATGGCCACTCGGGAAAATCGTGATTGACAGCCAGACGGTGCGTAATCTACGTTCAGCCGATGGACCAACATCGCAACAAGAAAGCAAACCCCGAGAGGCTTCGAGGGCCAGCTTGACAGCCAGTTTGTCGACGTCGCACTCGTCTGGGTCCCATGATGATCTATCGCGTGGCCGGGTCATATCTGCGCAAGATCAGCAGATCGCGAAGCGAAGCGAACAAGCGTCGGCGGCATACTCGGAGGTATCGAAAACATCGATCGAGCCCAGAATTGCTTCAGCAGCTGCTGATCGTTCGGGCGACACCACTTGGGCGGACGGTGGGGCGTGTTTGCAGAACGGGCACAAGGAGGCAGACGACGAAAGCACACATTGTATTCGCCAGCAATCGTTGTATGCCGAAGAAGCCGCGCGGCCTAACAAGGGTACGAAATCGGAGTGGGTAGCATCAGCACCACGACAAGAAGACACAGCACCGGACTTCGGTCGCGGCGAGAGGAGCGGAACTTCCAGCAGGGGTTCTCACGTCGCCCCACCGTATGAAGCAGGCATCGGCAGAAGAGCACGTTCACCAGGCGCTGTTGAACAGGCGAGCGCTCTTCCCAGCTCCGCTCTTCCCAGCTCCGCTCTTCCTGATGGTAAGGCTGGGACAACGCACCAGAGTATTGCTGTACGTTTCGTAGGAACAGCAACAGCACTTGGTGGATTCGGATCGGTAACCGATAGTCAGCCAACTCCGGCGATGACGACCGAGGACAACAACCAGCAACTAAGCGCGGCTGCGGGCCTTGAAGACCTTGCCCAAATGGGATCTGTCGGGGAACACAGGGGCCCTACCGTGCCTGCAGCGAATCGCGTTGAGATGGTAGTGTCCGTAGTCCGCGAGGAGCAGGAAGCCGGGGACTTCTCCACGAACAGCGAACCAGTATTGCCGATATCCCGGGGTTTCGCAGGGGGTAGGGGACGTCAGGCCTCTTCTTCCACAGCTCGGACTACGGGGGGCGCAGGCGTAGTTCGAACAGAAAATGCGTCGAGGGTTCCCGATGGTCGTAAACCGTCGCAAGTGCCCACCCCCAGTAGGCCTTCGCCCGCTCCTACCTATTCTTCGAACGATATCACATTTTCTGGACCACATTCCCCGTGGGATGAATCTGACGACGTGCCGTCGGCTGGTTGCTTGGAGGTTTCTTCCGCAGAGCAACGCGCGCCGATCTCACAGAGTGAGCGAGATCGGAGACCGGAGGAAAAACAATCGGCATCAGCCTCTTCGAGGGAGTCCGCCGAATGCGATTCGCCAGGAGATATGGCCGACGTCGCCCTTGCCGCTTTTTCATATGCAAACGCCGTTGCTGAGGCAGGAGGTGACGGCGATCCCGCGAGTAGCATTCTTGCTGGCCTTGAGAATGAGCGTGTGTGGGAGCAGACCCAGCGTGTTTCGGACGGTGGTAGCATTCTTGCTGGCCTTGAGAATGAGCGTGTTTCGGAGCAGACCCAGCTTGTTTCGGACGGTGGTGGAGAAGGGTCGTCGAGGTCGGCTGCATTAGGAGCCCATGCCACGGCGGCCAAAATGGCTGAGGATATCGCGATATCCCCGGGTCCCTCCCGAGAATGCGCGGAAGACAGGACGGCGTCTACCACTTCTGCCGTGATTTCCTCTGTGACCACGCAGCCGACCTCCACGGCTTTGTTGAATGGGGAAGCGGCTTCTGAGAGTACCACGCTGTTAGCTGGAGGAACGACAGGAGCTTGTGGTCCTACCGGTGTAACCACAGCTGCCAGCAGGGAGAAACGGGCCAGCGCGAGTGATCGCCACGATGACATGATGCACGCGATGTGCATGATTTGTTTGGAGAAGCTCAGCGACGCGGCGGAAGGAGGCGGTGCGAAGCTGCTGGGTCTTTTAGACGCATGCTCCCACCGGTACTGCTACACGGTGAGCAATGTGTGGCAGCAACAGAATTTGATGCTTGACTGATCATTGTGTTTGGTAGCCTATTTATAGTGCGAAGGACCTGGTTTGGGACCTGAGTCTTCGCCCCATTGCATACTCGTTCTCCTTGATGACGATGTTGTGCAAAGAGTTTCTGCATCCCGTTTGTTTAGAATTGTATCTCCAAGCTCAGCAATTGCAGCATGACTCCTCCCACATGAAAAGTTGCTGATGTTTCGCATAAAAGTAGTATCACATTTAGCCACTTGTTAGTTGGTTAAGAGGACACAGTGGTTGACCACTTTTACGTCAGTTCTGCAGAAAAAAAAAACTGTTTGCTTGTATTAATAGAGTCATGGTGTTGACAATGTACCTCGTTTGGTGGTATGTTGTTTATCTTCACGGTTTTTGCCTTGCGCCTTTCAGTGCATCCTGGAGTGGAGCAAGATCACCAACAAGTGTCCCCAGTGCAAGGCTCGCTTTCACACAGTCAAGGCTGTCCAAGAGCTCCGACGAACCAACGACAGGTGCGCAAAGTTTTCGCGGGGATCTTTAGTGCCGGCGGTGATCTGTACGTTGCACGTCGTCTTTTGTGGGAACTCCCACCGTGCCCTCACCAAGAGGAGTGGCTAGCGCAGGGTCCTTGACGCGTTCGAACGCCGCTCTTCCCTTTTCTTTTCGAGAGCGCACTTGTGTGTTGCTCTGCCCCCTTGGTTCGTGTACAAGGCTGCACAAATTGGAGCTTTTCGCCTTTCTTTTGTTGGGTCTGTACACGGTGTTGACTGCTGTTTGTTCGGGACTTTCACCTACATCGCCCCTTGTTTCTCGATGAAGACAGACGCTACGAACCTGAAACTGCCGATTCTGTCTATACCACAGACAGCCAAATGCGCCCGGGTGCCATCTCGAGCGCGGCATGTGATTGTTTTGCTGATGGTGGTGCGAAATCTGATCGAGGGCCGGAGAAATTTGGAACTGCTGATGCACGAAAAGTACTGCTGCGGCAGGGGTCTTCATGTGTGGCCATTGTCGTGCGCCGGCCTGTCTGCCCGTCTGCAGTAGCGGCGTACCGTGATTCCTTTGATGCGTTCTCTCTTTCTTTCATTCTACTTGCTGCTTGCTCTGTTGGTGTGCTCAGGTCAAATCGATGTTTCTATCCGCAGAGTGCGTTCCAGCCCGAAAAGTTCTCTGTGCAATTCTAGAGTGATACATGGTGTACCTGTAGTCATGTGGTTGGCTGCTTGTGTCTAGGGTGGATAGATCGCCTCGGCCTCTTTCTGGGAGCAAGACAAGGTTCAGAAGGAGGGAGCGCTCTCCGACGTGAGTGTTGTCGAATGTGAAATACTTGTTTTCAGATTTCATTGACATGTTTCAGACAGTTCAAGGAAGTGGGGGCTTGTTTCTACATCTGCATGCTGAATTCGGAAATATTCGACGAGTTCGAAAACGAGTAGTGTCCCCACTGTAATCTTGACGTTCAACACCTCAACACCATTCCCATATCCCTCGCTAGGTACCGTGGTGTTGCAGTTCGTGTCGAGGACAGAGACCAGGTGTACAGCTTCGTCGATGTTAGAGACGTGGTGGTGCTGGACCCGGAAGTGGCATGTCACGTTGGATGCCTGGTTCGTCGCGGAGTCGACGCCATACAGCAGGGGTGGGAGTTCTCTGTCCAATGCGAGCAATGTTCAACCTGGTATCATGGGCTCTGTGTTGGCTTTCGGCAGGAATGGGAGATCCCGGACCTTTGGATTTGCAGGCCATGCAGGGGTGAGTCGTACCAGATCACCTTGGACCCAGACGCCATCACGGAGCCGGCGGCAATCGTTGCTCGCGGCAGGACATCTTCGGGTAGTAACCACGGCAGTACTCGCGGGCGGAGAGCTAGCCCACCATCTGCGAGCCACGATCGTCTCCCCCCGTCGGTGTCAGGGCAAGAGGAATCGGAACCTGGGGAGATGGTAAGCGGCCGGGGTCAAGTTCCTGAGCAGGTTAACAGTATCGGTGATGCCCCTCAGATAAGCAGGAGCGTATCAGATGGGGGTCAAGGAATCGGCCCAAGGAGCGACCAAGGCAGAGCGGTTTCCAATATAACCGCCCAAGATCAAGTATATGTGAACCCCCCGGCGCTGGCCCCCCAATCACGGGTTCAGTCGCCGTCGGCTAGCCAACCACCAGGTGCGCCAGCTGAAGAAAGAGATAATGCTACATCGAGCGGATCATCGACCTCGCCGTTGTCCGATCGTTCTTTATCTGAACGGATGGCGGCGTTATTTAGTTCACAGCCACAGGCACCTGCGACTCCCCGCCCTTCAGTGTTCCCGACAAGGCCGCCCGAGCCGGTGCGTGCCACCTCAGCACCAACTTTGACGACACCGCGCGCGGCCTCTCCTCCGCGAGGTAGGGGCAGACCACGAGGATCGCGAAATATGCCGGAATCTTCCCGGCCACAAAGTGCTCAGTCACTGACCTCTCCCCAGGAGCAGGCGCATGCAAGCCCTACGCCACTGACCTCAACAGCAGCACGTGTATCTTCAGCGCCGCCTTTGCCGCCCCCGGGTGCAGCAGCTCCGGCACGAGGCAAAAGGGGTAGACCCCGTGGGTCAAAGAACAAGCAACCGGCGCAACCAGCGGTGCAACCAGCGGTGCAACCAGCGGTGCATCCAGCGGTCCCATCAACGGTTCCGCCTGCCGTGCAACCAACTGCCGTGCAGCCTGTGGCACAACCAACGGTGGAACCATCGACACAACCACCGACACCGTCGACCTCAGAATCGCACGTACAGAGATCGGTTGCACCACGTTCTGAGGAGCCACCGCAGCCGCGTTCGCAAGCAGACCACCAACAACAACACACGCCGCCTAGCACGGTTGTGTCGCTGGTAGGTGATGGGGCCGGCACTGAAGGTGAGCTATTTTCTGTTGCTTAGCAGCATCGCCTTCATACCCCTGCGAGACGCATTTTGAGCGTTGGGTGGAAATTTGGTGTTCCGCAGATGCTTTTCTTGTCGATGTGATCGCAACAGTAAGCCCTTTTCAAAGTTTGTGGCGGTGGTGGTTGCTTACCCCTGCAAGATGCTATGCTGTTTTCAGCTGGGCATAATCACGCTTCATAAATTCCTACGGTAATCATGAATTTTGTAAGGATGAAACCATTTTGTACGCAGCACGACTGTGTCACGGACCGCTGCCGGAATTGTAGGCCACGCCCGTTTCAAGCAGCCGAGCGCCGGGAAAAACATCTACGCTTAGTGTTTTGCTGAATCAAGCAAGGCACGCAGGCAAACACACACATACACTAGAGAGCCGTTTCTGCTTGATGGAGGTCTCCCGAGGCGATATTCGTTCAGCTCACGCCACTTTGTATCTGCAGAATATTTGGCCTGTATAAAGTGTTGAATCTTACCATATGTTTTAATGGCCAAGGCACATTTGAACTTCCTTTACTGTTGGGCTACGAACGTTGTAGCTAGACAGGTGGCTGAGAAAAGCCTGCCCAACTCAGATACCAGTCTCAGAACTTGCTATTTTCCGATGATAGCACCAACTGGGAACGACATGAAGGAGGAAGAGCTTGGCCAGCAAACCCCTTCGGAACCACACCAAGCCTTTCCATGAGTATTAAATAGCAATATCATGCACATGTCAGTAGGATAAAGACTTTGACAGGGTGCCGCATCCGGGCGGGGGTTGTGAGGTGATGTATCACCTTAGGTCGTAGGTATGTTTCTGGATCGTGGTTTCAAAAGGTGAGCAGGAACATTTGCACTGGATTGGGAGACGGTACAAGGTTGGCGGGACGTTCCCCCTAGCCGAGGTTGTTGTGTTCTGAAAAGCTTTTTGTATGTCTGTCCATCGATGTCACATGTGTTTGGTTATAACTTTCTCGAGAGCGGTTGTGCCTGTTTAAAGAATTGACAGCACCCATCTACCAAGCGCCTTAGATTTGGCACGCCAACAACCCCACAACGAGAGTGTGTTGCACTGCTGCCTTCCTGAACCTTTAGGGGCTGCAGACAAGCAATTTTGAGGTTGTGTGGATGACAGGTGTAGAAGAGCTGTAACCATTGTTGTTGCACATACAAGAGTAGGACCAAGATACGATCCGAACGGAGGATCTTACTGATGGTTGATCAGCAAGAGACCCGACTGTGGATGCGTCCCTCTTGGCGCCACCTGTGGAGCTTGGGAATCCGAGACCCTCGGGCTTGGTCTCCCTCGCCCCTTCGGCGGCGCACTCTCTCTTGTCTCTCTCTTCTGAGACCCTCGCCTCTCTAAATCTCAACGAAGAGATCTGCCAGCCCTTAGTAGTGGGAAAAGACTACTGCGACCTGGGCCTCCCCCCAACATCATAAAACCAATGCTTCTACTGGCAACGTGATATCGCCTAGTGTGAGATTGAACGGTAGGTATCCCAAAATTTCAAGAGGTGACCCGTCAGCACTTTTTAGTTGTATCGCTCCAGGTGGAACTGGACAAAGCGTTTTATTTTTTAGTGTGGGGTGCTCTTGCAAACATTTCGCTGAAACACAAGGTACATCAGCGGCTGTGTCGATTGTGATTTCAGACACAGGGTGGTTGTTCACTCGAGCGGGAATATGTACCCGTTTCGATGTGGAATTCAATGCAGTTGGAAATTTCGGATATTTACTCAACGCAGATGCGTGAAAAGCTGCAAATCGTGAACCACGACGCAACGCACGCGAAAACCCACAGGGTTTAAATTTTTATTCGAAGGCTCTCCAGGCGGAACATGTCGTACTTGCGGGGCTACTGCTAAGGGTCTGATACTAGTCTTTTTCCCTCTTCGGCGTTGCCCTGCACTACTGAAAAATGGCCCCTTGCTTGGAGCCTTGCTAGGTGTTTCTGCTACCAGAGGAGAACCAACCGATTCCACAACCTCCTTACGTGTAACAGAATTATTCCTATCAAAAACTCGGCCTGAAGTTCTATCCACTTCTCGTGCCCGATGCAAAATGCAATCCCTCGTTTTTCCACCCTTCATGGCGACATTAGATGAGCAAAGTACGGCATCTCGCGCTACCTCATTTCTCTCAACTACTGTTGCATCGGTGGTCCTGCTCCCTTCGGGCGAGGGGTCCCTTGAAGGGCCCCATCATCCCGTAAGAGGCCGGCGCTCCCATCCACCCTTCCTCTCTTTCTGGCGAAGGTGACAGTATTCAGTGTCGTGTGTGTCGGGGTTGGGACACCCGGGGTAGTCACAATGCCTTTTTTTGCTTAGTTCTTGGTTTGTCCGTCTGCGTGGACCCCGAGGTGCGCTTTGGTTGCGTTGTCTTACTACTGGCGCGCTGCGACGGTCCCCGGGGTTGACTGCTTGTGGCGGCAGCACGCGACTTGAGGTGCTTGACCTCAGCAGCCAACTCCTGGAGTTCGGAGGTGTGAGCCTCCACCGTGGACCGCAGCTTTCGCGAGTTGGCGGGCAGTACAATGGACATGAGCCATTCGGGAGGTTCGGTCCCATCACGGTGGTGCTGTTTCAGCATCTCCACAATGGATGCGCCAGCTGGAGATGTAAGAGCCTCGGGCTCCTCATCCTCGGGTTCCTCCTCATCTGCCCAACCCCCCTGCTGCTCGCGGCCGGCGGCAGGAGGAACATCCTCATACTCGTCTCCATCCCCGCCGTCGACAAACGTGTCGCGCTCACCGGAATCACCGCCACCCTCACCGCCGCTGGTGGCACTCGCGCGGTCGGCACCCTCAGGGTGATCCGACTTTTCCTCCAGAAGGCTGCTATCACCCGAGGGGCGTGAAGCCGGCACGCGTTCCGAGGGTGTCCCACGTGCTAGCGGGGTTGTCGGGTGTTTGGCGGCGAGGCATTGCTTGAGCTGCTCTAGCTCAGCTTCCAGCTCAAGGCGGCGTTGCTGCTCCTCGAGCCTCTTTTCCTCCGCCGCGTCCGCCTTGTCGCGAGCGCGTTGCACAGCTGATTTTTTCACCATCTCTCTCTTGTCTCTCTCTTCTGAGACCCTCTCCTCCTTAAATCTCAACGGAGAGAACTGCCAGCCCTTAGTAGTGGGAAAAGACTACTGCGACCTGGGCCTCCCCCCAACGAGGGAAGCCTGTGTCCTCATTTGCGTCGACGAGTTACAAGATACTCTGCTGGTACTGGAGGTAGAGGTGAGAGATGGTGAAAAAATCAGCCGTGCAACGCGCTCGCGACAAGGCGGACGCGGCGGAGGAATAGAGGCTCGAGGAGCAGCAACGCCGCCTTGAGCTGGAAGCTGAGCTAGAGCAGCTCAAGCAATGCCTCGCCGCCAAACACCCGACAACCCCGCTAGCACGTGGGACACCCTCGGAACGCGTGCCGGCTTCACGCCCCTCGGGTGATAGCAGCCTTCTGGAGGAAAAGTCGGATCACCCTGAGGGTGCCGACCGCGCGAGTGCCACCAGCGGCGGTGAGGGTGGCGGTGATTCCGGTGAGCGCGACACGTTTGTCGACGGCGGGGATGGAGACGAGTATGAGGATGTTCCTCCTGCCGCCGGCCGCGAGCAGCAGGGGGGTTGGGCAGATGAGGAGGAACCCGAGGATGAGGAGCCCGAGGCTCTTACATCTCCGGCTGGCGCATCCATTGTGGAGATGCTGAAACAGCACCACCGTGATGGGACCGAACCTCCCGAATGGCTCATGTCCATTGTACTGCCCGCCAACTCGCGAAAGCTGCGGTCCACGGTGGAGGCTCACACCTCCGAACTCCAGGAGTTGGCTGCTGAGGTCAAGCACCTCAAGTCGCGTGCTGCCGCCACAAGCAGTCAACCCCGGGGACCGTCGCAGCGCGCCAGTAGTAAGACAACGCAACCAAAGCGCACCTCGGGGTCCACGCAGACGGACAAACCAAGAACTAAGCAAAAAAAGGCATTGTGACTACCCCGGGTGTCCCAACCCCGACACACACGACACTGAATACTGTCACCTTCGCCAGAAAGAGAGGAAGGGTGGATGGGAGCGCCGGCCTCTTACGGGATGATGGGGCCCTTCAAGGGACCCCTCGCCCGAAGGGAGCAGGACCACCGATGCAACAGTAGTTGAGAGAAATGAGGTAGCGCGAGATGCCGTACTTTGCTCATCTAATGTCGCCATGAAGGGTGGAAAAACGAGGGATTGCATTTTGCATCGGGCACGAGAAGTGGATAGAACTTCAGGCCGAGTTTTTGATAGGAATAATTCTGTTACACGTAAGGAGGTTGTGGAATCGGTTGGTTCTCCTCTGGAAGCAGAAACACCTAGCAAGGCTCCAAGCAAGGGACTATTTTTCAGTAGTGCAGGGCAACGCCGAAGAGGGAAAAAGACTAGTATCAGACCTTTAGCAGTAGCCCCGCAAGTACGACATGTTCCGCCTGGAGAGCCTTCGAATAAAAAATTCAAACCCTGTGGGTTTTCGCGTGCGTTGCGTCGTGGTTCACGATTTGCAGCTTTTCACGCATCTGCGTTGAGTAAATATCCGAAATTTCCAACTGCATTGAATTCCACATCGAAACGGGTACATATTCCCGCTCGAGTGAACAACATATTCCCGCTCGAGTGAACAACCACCCTGTGTCTGAAATCACAATCGACACAGCCGCTGATGTACCTTGTGTTTCAGCGAAATTTTTGCAACAAGAGCACCCCACACTAAAAAATAAAACGCTTTGTCCAGTTCCACCTGGAGCGATACAATTAAAAAGTGCTGCGGGTCACCTCTTGAAATTTTGGGATACCTACCGTTCAATCTCACACTAGGCGATATCACGTTGCCAGTAGAAGCATTGGTTTTACCGAACCTGGGTCCTGATAACATGTTGCTAGATAAC